GTTAGGGAGTAGGCGTAGGCGACTCCCTAGACTCGTTAGTGGAGTAGGCGAGGTACGGTCCGACATATTAGATAGTTAGTTAGTTACCAGGGTGCGTTCCGGCATACCCAGGGAGACATAGACCTTATCAGCGCCAATGGCCAGTGGTGATTTCGTTAGTCGGTGGGAATGAAGCACAAGCACAATCTTGAGACAACAGATATTACAAGTTTACAATTTATGTGCTAAAAACTTGCCACATTTGTCTGTGGGATGCTATCAGCCCTAGAATATGCCTGCGGCATATGCCTTTGAATCCATCATGCCTGTTTTTTCCCAAACTGGCCATTGTCTCCATTGTCTAATTTTCCCTCAGAAGAAACCCTGCTTGTGGTATGCAGTCGGAAAGTATCGGTACATGCAAATGTGCACATATTTTAATGTTGTTGATCATGTTATAATGTTGATGCTTCTCGTATATAAGATTTGGTAATATGTCGATTTTCCACCTTCTGTACACTATTCAAACTAACTAGCCATGCAGTACGTAAATACAGGAAGTACATTACATGATGATATATCTGCTATGGAAGCATGCACTATTGATTGGCTGTTATAGATTTTTCTACCAATTTGATATTTCATTGCCTTGTTTCACAAATCAATGCTCTGTTGACGGTGCATGTTGATTTTGGATGTCACCTTTTTCATAAAATCGTTCGTCAATTTTTATCTTCCACGTGGGTAAGCTGCCTGAGCCGTAGAAGCAGCTGTGAATTGGGGCGAGAAAGCCACAGACAACAGTTTTGCGTGTCAGTTGAATATCAGTTTCACTGCGCAATAAATAGGGCGTGGGGGTTTAGTAGTGAGATTGTGTACATATCGTGTCTCGGAGTCTCAGCGCATGACCGATGTACACGCTGTGTGATCGTAGGCTTTCATTCACGCCGGTTATGTTCGCATACTTGGGCACGTTCACGTTGCCATGTCTGGAATGAAAAACCAGAAGTTTGGCCCAAGGCAATCTATCATCTAGGTGCGCCTTTCTGAGTCATCGAGCGTTCCTTTTTATCAAAGCTTACCAAGCGCAGCATGACGCCATGATCGTGCTGGCTGCTAAAAGCTTGCCTAGTTCTCAGCCTCACCCCATTCTATGTCACGTAAGTTTCATAAATGACTATAACAATTATTATAGAGACTTTTGCTGGCTATGTGAAGGAAATTCTAGTAGTCTTAAATACTTTTGGAAGGAAAGCTCTATGACCAGCCCCGTGTGCTGAGGTCCTGTGCTAGTATAAGCACGCACGCACGCACGCACGCACACACTCCCACCATTTTTAAAACTAGGAGTGAATAAAAAATATTTTTACTCACTTCTGATCTAAAGTCATGTACTAGCGCAGATGGGGTCGTTGTCGTATCAGGTACTACAGATAAGTACCGGAGGTAGTTTTAGGTTGTTTAGTATTTTATGTTTATATTTTTATACGAGGTATGTTTAGGGTTAGGGTTAGGGGTTAGGGTTAGTGTTAGGGTTAGGGTACACTTCTGTAGTACAAGTCTGGTACACTTTGTGTATACATATATGTACCTCGTGTACATATCTGTAGCTACCTGTTACGACAACGACCCCTTGAGCTGTACTAGCAGCACTTGTAAGCGATTTCAGCAACTGATACTTCTGAATGTCTTGCTGTGGCTAGAAAGTGAAGATCTACGTAAAGTTTTCGGCCCTGGTACCGGTATAAGCTTTTACTCGGCGCCGTAGGGCAGTCATAATTGGCTGCTGCGCGCACTATGTAAGTAGGCAGTGGTTAGACAGGCATCAGCGGTCAGCTGAATAGTTGTTAGTGTGGTCGCGCATGTGTGAACAGTAGTTTTCTTCTGTCTTCTAAAATCTTTTTTCGATTTCGTCTGTATTGTAAGTGACAGGTTGGCGCAGCGTGTTATGTTGGAAAACCTGATATGAAAATACCAGTAGCAATAGTGGTTTTTTGGGGGTCACCTCGTGGGGGTCTGGTGCTACCAACTCTTCCAATCGGTTGGCATCGTTGCATCGCAGCATGGTGTTAGCAGTCACGATCGAATCACTTTCGTATTCGGAATCGGATATTATTCGCAGTTGAGAATATGCACCGAATCTGTTGCTCGAATGTAATGATGGAGCATTCAAAGTGCATTACCTGCACAATGAGAAATAGCATCAGCTGCATGCGATAATTGCGGTGTGGTAGCACCCTAGCATACAGTGCAGTGGAAATGTGTGCCACATTATTGTAAGGCCAAAACAAAATATAGGTGTGGTTACGGTTTCCCAGACCGACCCTATTTATTCCCAGCGACCCTAAACATTTTATTGTCAATTTTCTTTAAAGTAAAAAAAAAATAAAAAAAAATAAAAAAAAATGAATTGGACAGTACCTGCTTCAAAAGGCACAATGCACATCCTTCGGACATGGTTCGTAAATAAAATATTTCAAGAAAATAAAATGTTTCCCCTACCTACTTACCCTATATTTTTTTCGGCATGTAACGGTAACCACACATATATTTTGTTTTGGCCTAATGGCTAATGCTGATATCCCGAAGCTTGGTCTGCTTCGGTGCTTTGCTATGAGTGCTTGTGTGCTTGTGTTTTGTTCATATGGGCCACCGTACTACTTTGCTATATGGAGCATGCAGCGCTTTACGTGAAATTAATAACGGACTGAACTTGGATGCGGCAACATGTTACGTACATGCGCCGACGGTACGTGGCAGCCACGCTGCTTTCATCTTGGTATATCATACGTGAGAACTTCGAAATGGCTATCTTCTATACACGCAATCTCTCACGCACATATGGATATTGATCGAAAATTGGTTGCGATCACTACAGCTGATGTACAGTCCACATGGGAGGAGGGGGGGAGTGGACGAATATGGCCGTTATATGTTAGCCTTAGCCCCTCTCTTGGTTTAGGCTTAGGCGATAAAACGGGAAACATACAAGTACAGCTCGCACAATGGGAAGAGTACAGTAAGCGAATGATTGGATTGTTGGTTCAGGTACAACAGGCCTTGTTGGAAGAGTGAGTGAAAGTACGAGAGTAACTGTTGTGTTGTTATTATAGCTGTATTGTAGTCGATTATATCTAGACCGGTAGAGATTTGTACCACACCTCTGTTACTGTTAGATTATTACCCTTAGGGTTCTCCCAGGGACTTCAGAAGGTATGTCATTTATAGATAGGTGGGGAAGGGCCCGGGAAGGTGGTTGTACCACGGAAGGTGGAGTCATAAGTGTCATAAGAGTCACGTGTCATAAGTGGCCCTAATACACAGGTAATACACATGGCTGTGTTGGGATTGTCAAAAGTAAACGGGTGGAAATTGGATTATCATCTCTTTTTTAAAATTGTTTAAATACTACTATTTGATGCTTGAATTTGTGCGTTTATAGGTTATAAAAACAGGAAATGAATAGTAAACTTTCAACAGATTCGCGAAAATGAAATGTTTAAACACTTGGATGTGTTTACTGTTTACATGTCATAAATGGTTCTAGATTGGTACCTCATGTCCCCATCTCGACTAGGGTAACGGTCGGTGGCATCTCGGAGAGCGGGAATCACATTCTAGTGATGTTGACATGTATGAATATGTAAACAAGTTTTAGGAACTGTCAGGAAATTACTTATGCAGTTTTTTACTACAAATATCTGCTCTGAATAAATGCTCATTTAGAGCACCATTTTATTAGTGTCAATTTCAAATACACAAATTCCAAACATGGGCCTTTTATGTGATAAACTTGCCCTTTGAGCTGAACCCCCTAATATTTTTAATCCTGAAGGTAGCCCATGTGGCTATCTCTTGTGGGTTCCATATGGCTCCTTGTGAGCTCCATGTTGGCTCCTTGTGAGCTCCACGTTGGCTCCATATGTGCGGGGGAACTTGTCATCACTGACTGTTGGAAGGTGGGTGCTGGAGCAGTAAGTGAGGTAGATGCAGGGGTGGGGGATTGGTTGGGGTAGGGGGGACGGTGGGTGCAGGGCGGGCGTTAATTGCAATGGTGTGTTGGCTTCAGGGACAGTTAGGGTGCAGGGTTGGCACGTGAGTCAGTGGTTGTAGGTGCAAGTAGGGGGGGGGGGCTCATAGGGTCTTATGTCCCCCAGGGTACTGCTGGAACGTACCCTGGGTACGGTCCGGTATACCGGAACGTACCCTGGTAACTATCTGATATGGTTAGGGTTAGGGTTAGGGAGTAGGCGTAGGCAACTCCCTAGACTCGTTAGTGGAGTAGGCGAGGTACGGTCCGGCATATTAGATAGTACCAGGGTACGTTCCGGCAGTACCCTGGGGGACATAGACTCTCTCAGCGTAGGTGGGCGTGTGGTGGCTGGTGGTTGTAGGTAGGCTGGTGTATGCAGGGGCAGGTAGATAGGCTGGTGCAGGACAACCATGCTAGCCCGCTGTTGTTTACATTAGGGTTACGACTGGGCCGTCGCGTGACTGCAGCAACCCAGTTTTTTGCTATACCCATGGGTGAACATCCGAAGCAATTAAGGAAATGGATATGTTTCCAACACGGCTCTCTGCAATATTCGACATTCGTCAATATTAATTGAATTTCTCTTGGATACCGTTACGATATGCCAACTTTTGTTGTTGGCTTTCGTTTTGTTGATAGATATTTTAGATTCATGCATGCAGGCACTCATAATCTCCACTCACGTACATGTAAGAATGATGATGAAAGGAGACTTTACTGCGATTGATGATAGGATTGAGTGTATAGGTTCGTACATGTGACTGTGAGTATAGGTTTCATATTACAGCTAGCCCGACCAGGCTGTGCGACGGATTGTCTATACGTATTCTAACCCTAGCAATACCGTTTCTTGGAGCTAACTTACAGCAAGCCAATGTTAATAAAATCGTTTACATCTACACACCGTGAATGCAAATCAATTGGTTTTGTTGAGATGAACATCAATTGAAATTTGAGAGTATATTAATTACGATATTTATTTTACAAGAAATGCATACATTCTTGTGTTATCAGACGTCACTTTTATTATTAGACATAAAAAATGAACGTATGATGGTGTCGTCATAGTTTCTCATGTTGGCTTGGGATCAAGGCGTGCTGCCGCGTTACTATAAAACTAGAGAGACCTATGGAATAGACGGAAAATAAAAACATCACGGCTATCTAGTTTTCCCGTTTGTATACAAACACGCAGCACGGCCTTATATCAACAGAACAACTATCGTATTATCTTATTATCGTATTAGGGTGCGCTTCAAACAACCACTGGCGCGACATTTATGGTGCACGCCCACGTTCACAATCATTTACACAGTATTAAACGCCGTACTGTTCACACACGCCATATACACACGCGTGTATATATGCACTACACATATATGCATTTATAGCATGAAACCCTTTACAATTCTATACAGTATACAATATTACTTGGTTGCCAGGGAATCATACGGAGTTTTGTGGACTGAGAAAATCCTTGCTATTCCTGGCTGGAGGTTGAAGGTAACATTGATTTTTGATGGGCTGGCAGAAAATGAGGAAACTTACCAATCTTGAGCTTTTTTTTGGCTACCTTACTTTTTACTATGTATACCGATATACGGTCCGTTCAAATTAAGTTCTACCCAAATTACCTACGTGCAAGGATAATAATTCAAACGCGTGAACACTGCTAACCATGGATGCCAAGGTGGAAGCGATTGGTCTTTTGTTTGTGCAGCGACAGTTTAAAGATTGATGGCTTGATGGTTTGAAAAGTTAGCGCTCACACTTTCCCACCCCTCTATCAATTAGTGCACAGTGGTGGGCATCCAGTCCAAACTATGCTGTAATGAAGTATTTGAACGGCGTTCACATGGAATTATTAGGCATTAACATGTACTACGCAAGGATGCACATATTACATGTTAGTACATACATGGAGTACATAAACATGTAGAGAGACATGCGAGAATCACATGCTATTAATGTTGACATATATATATATATCTAAACAAATCTACTTTGAAATGCAGATCGGTGAATATAATTTTGAAAATAATGATGTGCCAGTGTTCTAAGGACATGATAGGTTTATGGTATACACTTAAATTGACTACGTCACGAATTTTCTATGACCAGACAGTGTATATTTGTAAAATTGTTGTTACAATTTTTTTACATTAAAAGTAAGTACTAACGGGATTAAACATATCGTCAAATTCTTACCTGATAAGATTGTTTCTCAACTAGTTAAAAATCCAAAAAACCAGGATGATTTGATATTATGATCCTGACGTTAATTGCTTGCTATGGGCTATGTATGAGCCACAAGTGTATGTTTACATGGAACCATAATAGTAAAATATGAAGTATAATGCAACAATTTAAAACCGTAAAAAGTGAACAGAATTACTTACATTTTGTGAAATAGTGGACATTTTTATTTCTATTTTTGCTATTTACGGTGACGTAACGAGTACCAGTCAGTGTCAGAACGGTCAAGAAAGTATGAGAACGATTGGGAAAACATGAGAATTCATTAATAAATAGACAATTACAATATTTACAATAGTGCCTATGTTTTGTGGTGCAGAAAAAATCATTCTAACAGTGGTTATAAGGGGTTGGTTCATTTAACCGGTATATCTTATTATACAGGTTTGAAGCCAATCGATATTGTTTTTTTTGGGAGCAGTCACTTTAAGTTGCAATTGATTCGGCTATGTCTGTCAGTGTAACTTTTTAATGAGTAGTTAGGGCTTTTTAGTTCATCGCCAGGAGGTATAGTCGTGAATTTTACGAACGTCCTCAACCATCTATAATTTACTTGCAATCTCCTGTATGGCAGAACTCGGCTGCTGAGAAGTGAATGTACTTCGCACATCAATTCGAGTTTTGATATATATATGGCTTTCACCCCAGCGGACACTGATTTGCACTACCGATGTGAAATACTGTACAAAAGAACGCAAAGTCCTAGTTTCGTGTAGGAACTTAGCCACTCTTATGCCGGTTGTGTTGCAAAATCCTGTTTCCTAGTTAACATAATTTGTTGTTGCATGTGATCATTGTGATGACAAGTGGCAGTGCACAGTGCTTTACGCTGTTCCTTTAGTGTTACGCTGCTGCCGCCCCCATGTTAGCAATGAACTGCCATGCGATTCAGTTAGCTGTTTGCCTAGCCAATGCAAGGCATGAATTTCTAACAAGGACTGGTGACTCATACCATTTGCCCGGTCCCAACTGTTTAAAACGTGGCTTTGTGTGGTTGATACAATGCATCGCAGTGCCTGGCTCGCCAAACAGAGATAGAGTGCTCATGTCACCACAAGGCTGGCTGCGGCCGCCGCCACCGCTGCTGCTGAAGTTTGGAAACCTTTAGACTGGCTTTAAAAGAGAAAGCCCATTGGTGCATTCCCAACCAAAGTTTGCTTGAGTAGAGGCATGAAAATACGCGTGCTATCAGGAGTACATAAAACAGGAGTGTGCCAGGCTGGAAGTCCACTGTTTGCTAGCCTTAGTATACCTATGATTTGTTACGTCTCATATATACTCGAGCTCAAAATATAGCATCGTAGCAAAATCAGGTTTCCATGCACATTCATAATCCGCAGATATAGACGTACAGCATGGTTTTAAAAATGTTTCAACAAAATCGCAGCGGCACTCGCAACGCCTTAAACAAGTGGCTCTGTGTATAGATACTCTCAGGAGTACATAATAGCGGTTTGTGTACATACAATTTATCAGGTATTTGTGTCGTGTATGTGTTCATACATTCGTGCAATGGTCTAAATTGATCTTCTGTCCGTGCAGCATTATACCATTACCATCACTATACATTGATCACCTTACCTGACTAAGTTAACGACAAGACTTGTTGAATTACAATAAGGTAATAATTTCATTTCTTTCTAGCACGAAATGTTGACTGATATACATGCATGACTGCACCAGCTCCAAGTTCTTACATAAGTTCCTTGCATCAAAACTGGAAAACTACATAACTGATAAAATTTGATATATTAATTATTATATAACACATACTCGGAAGATTTTCAATTCCTTACGGGTATTACACAGATTATTGAGTGTGTGAAAACTAGCTTCATTGTTTCTGCTGCAGGTGGAAATTATTAGATCCACCCTGAAGAAAGAGCTGCCAGAGTTGCAAATCATTGAGATCGATGATGAGAAGGCTACACTTGATGGTGCCGATGTCTTGTTCACAGGTAATGTACCATCAGTAACGTTATATAATATTCATACTGAATTATTATTGGTTCAAGTAAGTAAGTAAACTGTAGTGGAACATCTCACTTGCCAAATTTTTTCAGAAAGTAAGAAAGCAGTCTTATTGTTTGTATTGCGATACAGAGCAGAATTTATCGTGTATGGTATCATGGCGCGACGTGTATCGCGCGATACACCTGCATTCCGGTCTATCGTTGCACTCGTGATTTATATAACGTATTTATTTATTGTATTGTTCTAAGTATAATTCTAGATAATAGTATAGTATTTAAAAAATATCAGAGGTGATGTACTATATGTTCTATGTAATCTATATGATACTCATAATAAATTTTGTTTATTGCATTGTTGTAACATTGGCCATAATAATTAGTTGTGGTGAGCTGTAGTGCTTAGTTACATTATACCACCTTACAAGTATATAGTTAGTACTACATCCTTCATGACTATAATGCTAGTGAGAGCATGTTCCATTGCACGGTAATTGCTCAAACTGAATTTATCGTCTTATCTAATATTAATAGGCAAAGAGATATTTGTGGGGCTCTCGAAGCACACGAACGGCAATGGCGCGATCGCCGTCGCCAACACATTCCCAGAATTCCCGACCTCGCCCGTGCGAGTGACGGGCGTTCCACATCTGAAGAGCGTCATGTGCATGGTCGCACCGAGCGTTCTCGCTGTGGCCAGCTCGCAGGAAGGCAAGGACATACTTCACGTAAGGCAGCTGATTGTAGTTCCCCTTCCTGTGTTCAGCCAATCCTGCGCTCATCCGTGTTGTTAGCTCATCTGATTCAGTTGAATGCAGCTTGTAGAATAGCGAGTGTCCATTCGTTCGTCCATCTAGCTGTCAACAATATGAGAACAAATCTAAATGGCTTGGTCTATATTATTGATATTCTTGACGTAGGGGAACAGTTAAATTTCGATAGCAAAACTCACTTAAAGGAGCTTCACACCTTAGATTCTGTAGCTATCATTGCATCCGCACATGTCCTGTTTTGTAATTTAGATGTGTTGACTGCATTAATTCGCCATAGCTGGGCAAGTGTGGACTGGCAAGTGCCAGTAATCTGCGTACGTACTCTTTTTACGATGTGATCAGTACCGAATTTCCTACTGTGTTGTGCAGCTAATTTGACCAAAGCCATGCGTGCTGCCATATTTGATCTAGCTTACATTTGCACCCACAATATTGCAGCAATTTTCATTATCATCTAGTTGAGTGTACAGAAATATTTGCAGACACGGCTATGATCAACATCGAATACCATCCATCACTCCCTGCTTTTGTGTACTATACATCATTACCTACTTCAACAGTCCTGCTTCTTCCACCTCTACAGACTGTATATGAGCGCTATTGCTCTGTGGCACGTTTTCTACATAATATTGTTGAACCGTGCGTGATGACATGACTTGGCCATCTCCTAATTGAAATTTGAGAAAGAGGACTTTATGCCAGTATCTATAATGCAAGTATCTATAAGTATAAGTAATAAATAGCTGAAATGCTGATAACTTTTACAGAGGGTGGAAGGAAAGGCTGAGTTTACATACCAGGTGATGATGATACCAGATACTAAGGCTGTCAACTGCATCTATGTGAATGGATCCGTGGTGCATCGGTCAGACATCCCCAGCGGTAACAAGGTGACTTATTTTCATAAATATTACAGTGGAGAGTTTTCCGATAGAAAAGGGCGGATAGTCATGGATCTCATTCCAAAACGAATTGCTGTATTGCTGCTACTAATATACTAGCCATTACTTTAGATTAGTGAGAGCAGAGTGTCACTATCTACCTGATTTCACTCGCTCTTTCTTTCATTCTCTCTCTCTCCCTCTCTACCCTCCCTCCTTCCCTCCATCGCTCTCTCTCACGTTTGTTCTCCCTTTTTTTCTTCCTTCCTTCCTTCCTCCATCTCACTTTCTCTATTTTTGCACCGTATCATGTGCAATCTTTACTTTCTTGCAGGTGTTTGAGAGTAAATTGGGAGAGCTGCCGCGATGTCCGCTAAGTCTCTCTCAGCTAGAAAAAGCCGGTGGGACCCTCTCGTCTTGTGCGTTGCTGATTAACAAGGTGAAACGAATCAAAAACCTCTAAAGCTAAGCACTTCAGTGTTGTTATGTGAACTCAGTGCAGGTGCAACAGTGGTGCTATCTGTCACCTATCAAGCTAAGCTAAGTACAAGCTATGTACACTGCAGTGTTGATTTGATTTGGTCAGCTATCTACACCACTGTTGCCCCTGCACTGCAGTAAATCTTAATTGTATTTGCTATCTCTTTATCTATCGCTTGCTCTCTATAAGAGAGATATTGCGGGTAGTTGCATGAGCTTTGAGCTACCCCCGAGCATTCTTTATTCTTAATGCAAACTATGGTAGGCAATGCAGATTAGAATTTCGCTAAGAATCTTCTTCGCATTTTCCTGCACTTATTTTCCGTTGTAGCGTATGCACTATCTTTTGTAATTATTAGGGTGTGTATGGTTACTGATGTCGAATTGTTAAAGAATCGCTAAATATGAGGCCACATTCCTTGAGCTTTTGCTGTGGCCTATGGTAATTCAATTTCAAGGCTGAGAGACAGGAAAACGGAAACTGCATGTGAGTGCAAACGTAGTGCATGTACTGGGTGAGTGTAAGGCAGGTGTTACAATGAAGACTAAACTCGGATTACGTGCCTTAGATGGCCCTTGTTAGTGTTAAATGTTGGCCAAACAATTCATATGAGTTATTTTTCCTGATATAGGATGATTATGATTTTTCCTGTATATTGAGATTCTATTACCTACTATCTGTTATAAACTGCAGAAATATCTGTAGCACTGTGCAATTTGGTGTTGTGATCGTGTGAGACGAATATGTTTATTTTAATGTAGTTGTATATGCTATCTTGCTCGCTCTCTCAATCTCTCACCCTCTTCTCCTCCCCCTCTCTCGCTCTTTCCGGCTCTCTCGCACTTCCACTGACCTTTCTCTGTGTGCCTACGATGTAACTATCTGCTGGTCACTTTTTGATGCACAAATATTTCGTGAGCATGTTAAGATAAATACACTATCATGAACTTACATCTATCTATACAGATGTGTGTAGATACGTTCAATGTATGATTCAGATGCTACATAATAGTTGGATAAGGCAAGTCTATTATCCGTTTATGCCCTCAGATGTGGTATCTTATTTAGCTATATATAGTAAGTAACCTGGTACATAACAGGTATGGATATATATAAAGAAACGTGTGTTATCTATTAACTGCCTACACCATAGAAATTGCTGGTTAAAACTGTGGAGCATATCTAAACGCATAACTATTTGGTACTGTTTAAAAAGTGAAATATATAATCAAACACCTTGTAGAACCATGTATTGGTGATGTAAAATTATTAGGGCTAATTAACCTATCCTCAGTGTTGTTATATGTGCACGCAGTTGTTAGGCAGTCATAAAATTAACAGCTTGCATGTCCTCTGCTGTTAGATTTCACTTCTGGCATGTAATTTTCTCTTAACAGCATGGCCAAATGATACTAACACTGGCATAGGTTGGAAACCAGAGCAGTCTGCATGTTTGCAACTGGTTTTCAGGCTATGCATGGTGCTGATTCCCAGGATTATTTTATACAGGAAGACTGTTGTTGCATTCAGCAAAATGGGAAGTTAGATGTAGGCGAGAAGAAATAGCAAGCAACCTCCCGTGTCACCAGAATCTCCACCAGAGGGCGTGGTTGTGTTGTATTGCATCTGTATGAACTCAACTGCCGTGCATGTTACGTTTCAGACCAAAGACGTAGATAATAATTTAGTATTGTAGGTTATTATCTACGTCTATGATTGATCCAGACCACCTGTCTGAATGACATAACGTCTCGGTTGTCCAATGGCAAAACATTCCGATGCTATTCAGTTGAGATTGATCCTTTAGTAACTGGTTTGGCTAGCATACTTTGCCAGTATCCCCCCCCCTCCCCAAAGTTGGTTATTACCAACCTATTTACCCGTGCTAGCAAGCTACTAATCAATCAATGCAACGAGGACAAAATTCACTTTCAAATTCGCTTTCTGCTCGGGCTTGAGCTGCCAAAGTAGGTCTGATTAGTATATGCATGACTTGCATTAATTATCGTGTACTCACATTTTTTAGACTGTCCAAGTTAACACGAGTCTATTAGGTTGTTATAGTATCGGAATTGTCTACGTAAAGACGTTGAGAAGATGACAGAAGTCGATAATTTTTCGCAATTCATTCCATCATGTTCAAGAACATGCTATTGTAGTGATATAAAATTTTGAACACAGTTCCAAAATTATAGAAGTAGGGTCGTTATGAGTGCTAATTGCTATGTCAAATTCTATCACATGGTATTATGTATGATACGGCCTAGTCCAGACAGTTATAACCGTCAGTACACGTGTTTATGAATGATGTACCACCTCGGTATCCCCGTTGCATGTTTATTGGTCTGTTGTATGTTAGTTTGAGAATTTTTCTCATGAATATGCGTTGGTGTAATGTATGCTCTGCCTTTAGACCAAAAATAGTTTACCTTAGGTCACTGGTTGCTTGCCATGTTTACGGATTCACAACACAGCAGGCTGTAATTTAACCACGGTTATTCATAAAATAAAATGATCGTATGGTTTTATTTCTATTTAGCAAAATGCACTGCATATCTTTGCTGCATGTGTGAGGAGTTGGTTAATAGAGGGCGCATGTGCGTGTGAGCTTGTATGCCCTGTCCATAGGGCCCTGTCACTATTCATAAGGGCCATAAGGAAACGTGTACATTTGTCAGTTTGCCCTGTAAACGTGATTGATTGTGCTGGTTAATGAGAAAAAGGGCATAATCTGGCGAGAAATGTAAGAATCCAACTGAGGCTTAGCCTGAGCCGTCGACTGCTTGAAGATTTGTCAATGCCGTAGAGAAGAAATGTCGTTGATTGGCTAGCAATCACACGTGACAGTAGCTGACTGTTACGTATTCACGAGTTGTGTTCAATTGCCATGTAATTCGTTCTTGAAGGACATCTTAGATAAATGTCTTCCTCTTACTCTGTGTAGTGTCTGGAAGCAAGCTGTGTCACCATCACGTATGTGACAAATTCTCAAAAATATTTAGTTACAATTCAGTGATTAGTAGTTGTGTTGTGTGACTGGAGAGTACCATGCACAGTGTGACGTGCCTCTTGCATTTTTAGATTGCAATTTAAGAAAAAGGTTACGACGTTGCCTATTTACCAATAATTTTTATTGTAAACGAGCATAATTAGTCACGTGTGTTAAAATCGAAGATGGCATTTTAGCTAACATTGCTGTTTTATTGGTTGTGAAATACTGTCATACTTTTTAACACTAGAGTTATCCAGATCTTTTTTTATTGACAAGTGCTGCTAAGCACTACACATGGTTACGTAGATAGCAGGAGGTGAGTGGTGGAATCTGCGGAGGCAGACATGAAATCGTCAAGAGTCAATGCTGGAAAGCGTAAATGTTTGAAAGATAATTTGGAATTGTTACCCAAATGTCCTTACTTTTACACCTTACTAAGAATTGTGTAGTTTTGTGAAGACCAGGATAAGTAGCTACCAACTCAAATCAGAGGGGTTAGTAACACTTTGAGTTAGGGTGATTGAGTCTGTGTCAGCGAGAATTATTGGTAATTGTTTCTAGCATTTCTGTAATCAGTAAGTTGTACTATGAACGTATTCATACATCTCTTAGATATATCGCATCAACTGATTGTATAAATATGTTCCCGGTGGTACCAAAAGAAATGCTGAGAGAATTTACACCCTATGTGAATCTCGGGTTTTATTTTCCAGTGTGAGAAAAGTTGTTGGCCAGCCGTTATGGTATTGTTACGTAGTGTGTCTGCGACTACACGGTGTGTTAATGGTTGGAGAACATAGTGAATCGATGGTCTTCCAGTGGTATCGCTAATACATTCAACGAGGGCATTACTATCTTTGATTTATCTTGTGCTACTGATTTCCTTTAAAAAAAAATTATTATAGTGGTCACTTTAACAACTTGTAGGTTTGCTACTTGATTTGCACGTACATACTATTTCAGCACTCATTCGAGTTGTGGTAGTAACTACGGTACCGATTGCGTTCATATATTGCTAGGTAGCTTTTTACAAACGTCCAAAACTCTCAGCAGAAGTGCGGACTAGTATGAAAGTTATTGATTCTCTTGCTGGTTGTATATTTGGTAACGTACGCGTATAATGAATGGGGGAAATTTTCACAAATGCGATAATCAAAAAACGTTTCCGACGGCTATCTTCTCCGTTTCAATTGTTAGTCTCGGGTGTCATAAATATTGAGTATTATTGAATTAAACTTAAATGTTGACTGCTTATTATTGCCTTGTCAAAGTAGATATGGTTTTACTAAATACAAATTCTAGTCGGAGGGAAATATTTTACCAAGGTTTATAACAGCAAAAACTATTATTATTGTTTATATAGAATGTTGCTACCTTCTGACCTTTTATGTGTCATATATTTGTAGTTGCATAATATGCATATGCTATAGATTTAATAAGAGATAATGTCAGCCTCACTATAGCTTGTTATTTGTATTTTTCGGTGGTGGTTAAATGTGTTATTTTTTACGGTAGCTGAATTATTAAGAAATAGCACACAGGACCCAATAACACTTTCGCCGCCGCCGCCGCAGCAGCAATGTCAACAGTACCATAAGTTATCACACTAAATTCGGTATACCAGATAAACGGTTTCACGGGATTTTATTTCCACAAATGTGTAAATTTGAATTGTAACTACAAAATATACATCATTAAATTACACTAGCAGCCTACATATCATTTTCTTTGTCTGATCCTCTACGACGTAAAAAGTCATAACTGAAATGCCGCGTACCTACATGATTGTGCAGTACAGATTAATGGTTATTTATGCGCGCATTTCTTTGAAAAACCTATCAGCGTAAGGTGAAAGACCTAAAGACAATACGCAATATTTGTTAGTCAGTTTTTCCCGCCAACCGCACACGATTATAATAGGAGTAGGCCTATATAATATACTAGTCTATATTATACACTCCTTATTATAATAGGAGTAGGCCTATATAATATACTAGTCTATATTATACACTCCTGATGATGTCATATCAAACATTCGTTATTCCTGGCTCACCGCTGCCTTATTGTACGAGCTTTGACTTGCCTCATTAAAAGTTATTGCTGTTGAGGATTCGCCTGATCTACTTACATAATTGTGCTGTTCTATAGTTCACCACACTTGCAAATCTTTGCCGACTCTACAGTGTAAGGCCACACGCAGACACCGGTGCCCTCGTCGAATATCAGTCCTAAGGCGCAGTTGATACGACGCTGAATGGCGAACGGCCTGCCCGTGTATAGGCATATGTAATAGCGTCCGCAGTTGTCCGGATCTCTAAAGTTGCCGTCGCGCGGGCACGTAAACCCAGCGTTACATCCCCGCAGGACGACGAATGTCGTTACGCGGGAGGGAAGAAGGTTATGACACGTGGAGTTGTAGGCGTTGTTCGTGTAGTGGCGGTTGTTCTCGTGGTGGCGGTTGTTCTCGTGGTGGGTGTCGTTCTCGTGGTGGGTGTCGTTCTCGTGGTACGTGTCGTTCTCGTGGTGGGTGTTGTTCTCGTGGTAGGTGTCGTTCTCGCGGTTGTAGGTGAAGTTGGTGTGGTTGTCATTTCACTGCGGCTCTTCAGTTCATTGACGACGTACGTGAGGAGTTCGAACTTGTGCGTGTTGTATTGGCACAGGTTGTTGAAGTCATCGAGGTCGAGAGCCCACAAGCAAGTGCCGCCCAGGCCGTGTGTCTCAACCAGTTTAACCTGCAAGCAGTGGACTGTCACATTTGCTTCAGTGAAATACTGACAGTGCTACCAAAACATAAACAAGGAGTTTCGATTATCTAGTTGATATTTACAATCTTCAGCTTATGCCAACACATTGTACTTCAACCTTCCCAGTGCCAAGTAGTTATAAATATTGTGTGTGCGTGCGTGCGTGCGTGCGTGCGTGCGTGTGTGCGTGCGTGCGTGCGTGCGTGTGATGTAGCAAAGTTTTCGGCTATGACTATATAGTCAAGAATCCATTAGGTCATTATTAATTGGCTCTTATTATCAAATATATACTGCTATACGTAATAAAGTTACTGCTCAATAAAACTACCACTCTGACGGGTCTAATATCGGAATTTCTTATCAGAGTCATATTTCAGCCATCAGGAATCGCATTTAACGTACCTTTTCCGATATGCTAACGGCATTCTCGAATCCAATCCACTGGTCTCCCTTCCACGCATATGGTACCCGTTGTGCATCGCTGAATGTCTGCTCATACGTCGGTAGAAGATTGCACACCTACGAAAACACGCACGAATATAAGTTAGTTAGCATCTCGCGATATCAAACGCTCTGCAGTGTAACTATAGGAATTGATTTGAATTTATTGATTAATTGAATTTATTGAATAATTTCATCGGATCTCTATAGTTCACATGCTAATAAAGTTTATCTCAGTTATTTTTGACTTAATTTGGATGTAACTGAGATAAACTTTATTAGCACGGAATAAAATGTGTTTTCTGTAATATTGGAATAGGACGATATGTGCGCATTCCACGTTACCTCGTACTGGGACAGGGTACCGGCCGTGTTGGTGATTGGCCCTGCGTTACCCGAACCAGTGATCGGTGCACCCAAGTCATGCTGAGCTGGATTCCTAAGGCGAGCAGTGCGGGCGTACGCCGGAATGCCGAGGATGAGTTTATTCGGTGGAATTCCATTTTGCATGTAATGCTCTACGGTCCACGTCTGCGGAACAAAAGTTCAAGTCTGTCAGACTCACACTAGGCATGCGCATAATGAAATATTAATGCAGGTAGTTGCTTAATGATTGCCAATAAACGGTTGCCAAGCTCTCTAATGTGTAGCGATTTTTAGTGAAACCTAGGGAATGTGAGGGATCTGGAAGGACTACGCACCTGAGATAGGGTGGAGGAAGGGTCCCGCAGCGGGGCATTGTGGCCGACAATGTTCTCCCATGGGCCGTGATAGTCGTAGGACAGCAGGTTGATGAAGTCGACTGACCTGCAAAAAAGCACACTCAAGTATATTAGTGGGGCTTTACCAGAAGCGTAGCTAACCCATTTGGCCCGGGGGGGGGGGCAAAGCCACGTGCGTGGCGTGTTCTGTGAAGGTGACCGCCATTGGTCATGTAATGTCTCTACATTTCTCTGGGGTGGGCAGCTCTCACCGCTAGCTACGGAATTGTTTACATGTTTGTTTATTTGCGCTCTGTCGCGCGAACATTACAGTTATTGATTGTGACGAAGAATCTAAATTACAACTAGAGTCTGAGACGTGCCGCTGTAATCTAATATTAGCGTAATTATTTCTTAATGACGCTCTCAAGTAGCCATTTAACGCCACTAACTTATGCAAAGGTTGACAAATGTTAAGTCGAATTATGACCTGCTGGTCATCGGCTGCATCCCTGACGAAACGGGAATAATTTCTAAGATGCCGCTCTATTCACTAAGTCGTAGGAAACAAAGTAATCACGGTTCTTACCTCGCTATAGCCGGTAAATCATACCCACCACCGATGAAGTATTGTCCAGCAGCACCACCCAACGTGCAGAGTAACCTTTCATTTCCGGTCCTTTCTGCCTCGGCCTCAAACGCTTCCTTGAGTTCCTGAAACACACAGAAACGGTTAGATATTTTACCTATTTCGACGTCACATATTTATATTTATATTTATATATGCACGACATTTAGTATCTTTTCATGCGCATGTATGGTCAGGGTATTATACATGAGGGGCTATTTTTATTATTAAAATAACCAAAAGTAGCATGAAGCGTTAGGCAGGTAATTAATCACTCATGCAGTTAAACATATCTGCCGTTTACTTACAGCAAGCAATTTTGGGCAAGTTCTGTTTTGTCTTCCTGCCGTCCGCCTCCGTTGGGTCCGGGGAACTCCAGTCAATATCTAGTCCGTTCATCCCGTATTTGCGCAGGTACGCGATTGAATCCTATGGAAGACAAGCAAATCTGTTACTAAAATCACCAATGCTATAATTTCTAGTTATTGTAGAGACCGCTGTGAAATGAAACAGTGCTAACACGCAACATTAGTATTTAAAATTAATGTGAGAACGTGAGTATCCCTGTGTAAACCCTTATCCTACGGATGATATCCGTTAAGGTTTCACAGTAATTACTAGAACAGTTGGTAGTGAAGTTTATTCATACCTCAATGAAGATTTGCCTGCGCTCCCTCGTCAGAGCCATGTCGCTGAATACCTTGGATGAAGCGCTGAAACCCCCTACTGCTAGCAAAACCTTCATGTTGTAGTTGTCCTTCTTTTGAGCTACAACTCTTCTGTACAAATCTGCAAACGGAGCGAAACAGCGACTAATGTATGTAGATATTCCCCTCTCTCATTATGTAAACAAGCTATGTATTGCAGTCACCATATTGCTTATAGTAAACGAGGAACGCTTCCTTACCTTCGTCGTTAAATTCGTAAGTTTGCAATTTAAACGTCTGCGCGTTAATGTTCACAAACGCATAAATGAGATGAGTGCAGAGTTCTGCTGGGATATCCTCGGGTAAGAACCTTGCTGCTCCTGGTCGATACTGTGACCAATTTGTGAAGTAGCAGACGCTCATGTAGTCGCCGCTTGCTAGAAGTCGCAAATTGTTTGTTATATATCAGTTAAGATGGTGACAAAATAAATCCCGGCGACTCGTCAACGATTCGACGCAAAACGTCGCAGATCTAAACATCATATTTACAAAATTAATTCAACGCCGATCGTTGACCGTTGAAGTTGCTGTACGGTCGCACGATCGCCCTTCTACCTAATATTTAATATATAATATCTCCAAATACATGGCATTGACACGAACACACACTGGTCAGTAGTAAACGTACGTCAGTGAAGAATAGTAAGTAGTACGCCAGTCAGTAGTAATCTTTCTCACAACGAGAAAACGTAGTTTAAGACTAAAATTGAATAAGTACCGCTAATCATTGTGACTTACCATTGCATTGAGGCGTCTTTGCAGACAGGATAGCGACTAGGAGTAATAGTATGACGGATCTCATCTGTAAAATCAGCAATAAAAGGATGCAAATTATAGCAAAAGAAGTTCTTTAACATGGAAATGCTATTGCCAGTTAGATTCGCCAATGCTAGAGTAACAATCAACACGTACCACGCGTACACGCAGGCACGCGCGCGCACACATAAACTCGGTGTTCCCGAATAAAACCATTTGTCAGCATGTAAATAACATGTAAGTATACATATGCTGATTGTTATGGACGGTGGTCACAGACGGATTTCAAAATGATTGTTCTTTTTCAATATATATGCAATAATACGAGACATGTCACTATGTATCCCGAAAAGAAAGTGCAATCGTGTTCACTCTAAAGATCTCAACGAGCTACACGAAGAAAAAAAAGTACGATTATTGCGTAAATTAATCTAGTAGCGTTAAGATAACGTAACAAATGCTTACCATGTCAGCTCGGGTTCTCAGCTCAAGTAAGTCGGTGTTCAGTCCGCCACCAATGCAGTTGAGTGATCTTACCGTATCCCTGGTCTTCCTTATATAGCCAGCAGTCTTTGCCACTCGACGCCTGTTCACAATGATTCTCAACGTATTTCATTATGCGATACTGTTCTTATTCGTATTCTGGGAGCGGTCCGGGTTTTTGGAGTTCAGTCAAGCGGCGGCTGTCTGATCTGGTTGGATGTTTAGCAGAGCAAACACATACAACGACTCAGCCGTGGGAACGCCACTGTGCTATGCCGATATCGTTCAACGACCCAGCGTTGGTTGACGTCAACGAATGAATTAATTATCACAATGCAGAAGACAATGAAAGCCGAGACCGTTGTATTGCCTTCCTATATGTGCTGTCATTGTAGCCCGCGCGTCTCTATAAATATCTACTGATAATAGATCTAAGTCGGCATAGGTGTTCCATCAGCTGCTGTCCTATGGATATTTTGTTTGCGAATATTGTCACGTTAGTCTGGGTTATGTACATCGTGGGAACTACTTAAGCAAGGCGCCATATCTCTGATACGGTGTTAATGCACAGGCATGTAATATATTTTTGGTTCTCCTTCTCCGTCTCTCATTTTCTTTCTCTCTCTCTCTCTCTCCTCTATAATTATATATATATATATATATATATATATATATCAGAAGTAAATAATAGGGAACCCTAGTAGGGTTTCCTATTATCTACTTCTGATATATATATATATATATATATATATATATATATATATATATATATAATAACGTTCATAAAAGCACAGCGCTGCTATATTTATAGAAAAATTTTATTATTAATTCCGTGGGTCGATGTGATATGTCGTAGTGCAAGCTAGAGCATCAAAATTGTTCCCTCCTTACTGTCTTTCCTGTCGTAAAATATTAAAGAATAAAAAACGTGTAATACATGTAACGTGAAATTCACAAAAGGAAAAGTTCGCATATAAAGCCCGGCGCACACGTGAGTAATTTTTACGCAGTAAAATAATGCGTGCGTCAAAATACTCACGTTTGCGCCGGGCTTTAGCTATGATCAAAACCGCCGCTACCGCGCGCCTTTGACTTCAACACGAAGGCTAATTAAGAACCTGAATTAAGACTGCTCTCCGTCATGCGCTAATATGCTCTGCTAATATGACACGTGAGGAAATGATTACGTGGAGGCACATAGAGAAAAACCATTAATTAGCCAACAGTAGAGACTTGAATTTGCAACGGTATCCGGTATATCTGGGTGGCTATAGATCGTTTCACATATCTTACGGAACGCAGCAAAAACGCTATGGTGATGAAATCCCTCGCTCAGACACCACAGATGCACGCACACACGCACGTACAGAGACGGACACACGCACGCGTATTATAGGTGAATATACACGTATATATTACATTTACAGTCGCGGAAAAAGGTGGCATAAAAATAATAAGCAATCTAGTGGTAATTGTTGTAATATTATTCGTTCAATACATGTACAATGTTATTCGTTACAATTCGTTGTAATGTTATTTTTTCGATATTATTCGTTCTTTCTTATTCGTTCATTTAGACACGTTTTTTTTGCATGACCAGCGTATGCCAAAAGAAACTTCGTTGAGCAAGTTTTGTTAGGTAAACATTTAAACTAGGAAGTGCTGCAGCAGTATGTAAATGAATTGCGCCATGTAGGTATAACGCATATCCGAGTACTTCCCACGTTCGCATCGCAAACTACACACATGTACACAGCGCGAGCTAAATGTGACAATATTGCAGGAAAAATAACAACGGCGCAGTAACTGATGGAGCATCCGTACCAACTTAGACCTGACATCAACAGCCACCCATCGACGCGCCGAGTACAATGAAAGCACGTTGACGCTCATTGCGGCGGGCCCGCCGATTCTCGTCTGCTGGATTGGCTGGGACAATTAGTTAATTTGTCCTCAGATGCAGCCGCGAGTCGCGCACCATTTCGGTACACTCGTGTTCCCACGGCTGGACTATTGTTGTTGCTTGCTCTATTATTAATCAAGCTCGGGCAACACCTGCTTTGCAGGATTTCTCAAATCAAGTACAAAACACAAACAATAGGGCGTCTTTTTCTCGCGTAATCCCTTACGCGAGAAAAAGACGCCCTATTATTTGTGTTTTGTACTTGATTTGAGAAATCCTGCAAAGCAGGTGTTGACCGAGCTTGAGGGAACAGTGTGAGAGATGTTAACCAATATTGTCAAAATCGATTAGACGGGAGAAATACCATATGAGTTTAGTACGGAGTAGCAGGATTAATGCAACGTACATCACCTAATTCCATTTGTGATTCCATATGTGCGAAACAGAGAGGATAAGTTATAGTATTAGTTTATTTTACATATGTTGTGTCTCTAATCATATCCACATATCCACGATTTCATTTACCTTCCAAAATACATGATGATGTCTAGTAATAACGCTCTTTATTAAAAAGAGGACAAACATTTCAAAATCCGGACCGTGATCCAATCAATGTATTTAATTCGGAAGTGTTACCAGTGCGAATGCGCACGTCTATGAAAGCAAGTTGCCTCAAATGCCCGTAGGGCCGGCCCATGGACCGCACCCAATATTTCCTGCGCTACGTGCTCGAATTGGCGCTACGCGATCACAACATTTTGCCCCCCCAACATTTTTTCTTGCCTTCAGCTTGCCCCCCCCCCCCACTTTGACAATCCTGGTGCCGCCACTCGTCGGCGGTAGTCCTCTGTTAGAGACGACACGTCGCAGTTTTGTCTCCAATATGTCTTTGTGTCACCAGCGTAATCAACACAGTCAGCGATACCGCTCGCTGTAGTCTCTTCATTCAGGTAACTTCATTCAACTCAACATACCTAAACACGAGATCGCGCTCCCGTTATAATTAATGGAATTTTTTTTTCTAAATTTGTAATAAATATTTTTTTTAATGAATTTATTGAATAATTAAAAGTAATTCATTATGCATTTATTTTTTTAGCGCGCGTGTTATACATGTTATGTTCAAGTACTTGTCTATGTTTACTATATGGGATATAATACTCGGACATACTCCATCAGTGGTATATCTTACCATAAGAATTACCTCTTGTGGTTTTATCAAGAGCATATCAGTTTTATCAAGAGCGTATCAAGAGTGTGTACTTAATACGCGCTTGGTTTTATCTATCTATGTCAGGAGTGAATAAAAACAAGCTAGTTTTTATCAGTAATGCTTAGAGTTTTACTGTTATTCTTATTTTTCATTTTTATTTCGTTTTTACTCACTCCCGATCTATATACTAACAGATGTTTTCCCGAGTCAGTTACATAAAGCATGCGTTTTTTCCTCAAACGATCCTGGCGTTTTCCCACAAACAGCATAAGACGTCAGTATTATTTTGGTACATAGTTGAATGAACTGACCAAACACCGAGTTGCTTGTAGTATTGCGGTTATGATAGAGCTATGTTAATATCATGTTATCAGAAGTGCATCATGTCAGGCTGTTATGATGCACTCCCAATATTATGTATTAATAGTGTAGCCTTAGTGACAGTTGGCCATTTTGACGCACGGTCTGCTATTTGGCGGGGGATTCTGTTGCTCTAAATGGTGCTCAGCGATTGCACTGCACACGCGCAAGTCTACCCCCTATCGATCAACCGGATGAAAATCGTTACCCAGTGCCGTTACTATAAACAGACTTTATACAGCGATGCAGGTAGGGAGTTCCGACAGGGTAGCGACTGGAGCCGCAGCTGAACAGCCTGAGATCACCAGACGTTCCGCACTTTTCGCGTCTTCTGCAGCACGGACTGTATCAGACTGATTACTAGATGAACACGTCGCTTACATTCGCTCGTTGATTTCACGTACGTGAAAGCGCTATCTCGTAAGGAAGCCTCTGCAGATCTCGTGCGCATGACGTCACTCCGGCGCTGTTTTGCCGCTGCAACGATTTTCGCCTGCGCCAATTCGGCGGACAGGTAACAAGAACGCATGCAGCGCGTCGGTGAGGCGTACACTCGTCAGACTCACGTTGCTAGAGATATATAGCGTGTGTAAAGACGAGAGACGGAGAGATAGAGAGAGAGAAAGAGAGAGAGAGAGAGAGATAGAGAGAGAGAAAGAGAGAGAGAGAGAGAGACGAAGGAAGTTTTGGTCTCGGTGAGAGATGAGTATAGGCAGAAGGAGGTGATCCGGGAGCAGCAATGCACGTGTTAATGCGATGCTTCGCATTCGTCCTCGTCACCGTCGGCCACGTTGTAACAGGTAAGGCGAACCTCTAAACAAATAGCGATTTTTGTTTCATTTCAGGTTATTGTTGGCGATCACCAAAGTGCAATGACAACAATGATATATCATGTCTCTTACAGGAGTTAATTTGTTGATTTTTAATCATTATTTATACTCACTCTTCTACTTTCATGCTATTAATCATTAGTTGCAATCTTATTCATGATTTTCCTTTCTTCATGGCTTTATGTATATGTAAAATATTATACATCCATGCAAAAAATCGCTCCCCAACACACACAATGACACGTATGGACATACGCACCAACGCACGCACACGGATCTTACGTACAGCTAGAGGTGCATGCGTAGGTTGGCCGTATGTATAAGATAGCTAACTCCCACGAGGATGAATCGGAATCAAACTTCGCTGATATCGGTGTCTACATTATTAATGACTCGACGACGCTAGCGTACGCCCCCTGTTTCTTCAATCAATTACGTCTCACGTTGATTATGAATTAAACTACACAAGCAAGCAATTGTTGGTCATTAGTGGCCTTAGAGAGAGAAAAGAGAGAGAGAGGGTTACACAGCGGCAAACAAGTATTGTATTCAGCAAACGGTGGCGACAGGATGGCGCCGAGGATGGGTGACGCGACGCGCCACACCTACGAGCCAAGGTCCGGCCGCTAATGACGAAAAACAGGTCGGATACAAATGTCGCCGGGCTGTTTTCGGAAACGTATAAATAGGCACGGAGGACGAAAGATCATACAAAGTTATTACCCAGAGGAAGAGACGAGAGACGATCTAGTGGAGAAAGTCAGTCTTCAAGAATAATTTCTGCGACCACATCGTCTTTACTCTTACTACAATTGCTATCCATTGTCGTCTATTTGCTACAATCTGCTACCTTTTGCTAACTCGACGCTGCTACGATTCCGGAGCGGAGATCAACAACTTTACAACTCTACGATTCTACGATGCCGGAGCGGAGAAAACAACAACCTTTTCCAGTACAATACAAGCATGATCATATCGGCGATTCGCCGTAATATGTAGAGTGTCAATGTCTCCTTAATTGGTAAACGAACCAGCGTACATTTGAGAAAACATGAAGCAAAAACAACAGTTTTGGTTTCTTTAGTCTTTCAGGTTAAGGTGCATCATATGCTTCCTATATTTTGCCGATCCATCGGATGTTAAAAAACAGTTGCCACTCTCGCATATTGCATATAGCGAACATTTTTGGTGTACATAATAATTAAATTGCCCAGAGGTTTTGCTTAGTCTCATACAAAATCTCATGGGCAAATAGTTTGAAGATATTTTGTGTGTTAGTAATTACTCGTATCGCAAACAAATATATATTTATTTTCTACGAATATTCTTTTCGTGAAAAGGTGACATGGTCGGCATACGTCATAACAATTCACATCAAAGTATTTGTTTAACATGCTGATATTATGAATATTTACGGACCCCATGAAAACGCACGTATATAGAACGTACGTATATAGAGGACTGAGGCATAACGTTGCGCTTTTATACTTGATTAATAAAAATCACACGCACAGCGCCTTGCGCCAACGCACATAAGCGCACACACGAGTGCACGCACGCACGCGCAAACACAAACAAACAAACACGCACCGCCAATACACAGACGGGCAAACACACCCACACTTCCCCCATACAGATGCGCGCACACGCGCGCGTGCACACGCACGCACGCACGCACACACACACACACACACACACACACACACACACACACACACACACACACACACACGCACGCACGCACATACGCACACGTGCACACGTGCAGCCAGACATGATATCCCGAACACAGCGATAATAGCAACATAACGCAGACAGTAAAGCCCTCCAGACGAAACGATACAGCTGAGGCTTATAAGGTACCTCAAATAAGGTATTAGGCTCTTACAAAGTATACCACTTATAAGGTATTATAAGGTACCTCTGGGCTATACCTTACCCATAATAATGACTAATAATAGGCGCACTCGCCTGCATGCGTTTACCTGTGACTGACGCTCTAGCCGCACAGATTTTTGTTGCCATCAGATAGCTAATAAGATTGCTGGATAGTAGGTCTACATCTGGTTTATGCCACATTTCCATCATATTTTCACTTTCTGCGTAATTTGGCTGATGACTCGGTCGTTGCGTGATCGATGCAACAAGAGCGTAGCACGTGTACAAACAGCAGCCTTCCCGCGAGCTCTCAGGTGACACGCCATCAGCGTTTACTACTATAACATCTCACGGTGTACTAGCATCGTGCCATATGCGCCCGTCATGCTGTTTGCTGTGGTGATTCCTTACAACGTCATCGTTATTGGTGTCAGCGCCATTCCCAACATTGTGATCGGCTCCCTTTCATTTCTGTTGGCTAGTACACCTGTATGCGCCTCTCTTTGGTCTTGGTGATTGATTAGGTATCGGTTAGATTGGACGGTGTCTTAAATCATCGACACTTTATTTAAGAAAATCGTTTTTATGCACCATTACTACCACACCACACCATTTCAGTTCCCTATACCGATAACAACTCGTTCAATCATAATTAACTTAATCGAATAGCCATACAAATTATTTCCAAACTATTTTTGTTTTATACCCGACTGTATCCTCTATCTATTGAAGAATATTTTGTATTTTTCAGTCGTTATAGAGACATAAACCCCCCCTACCCCATCCTCTCTATGTCTGTCTCTCTTTTTCTCTCCCCTCGTTCCCCCTTTCCCGTTCTCTTTACATGAGCATATATATATATATCAGTAGTGGTGTAAATATAGGTTTTAATAGCAAATTTGTTGTTAATTTATGTGACCGACTGCGTAAAAGCTCGTAACGTAACGTTTTACGCGTAGATAATCGCACCGGACATGCTTCAGCGTGTGTTGTGTGTGATCAGAAGCTTTTCTACGCTAATTGTTTTGTGCTGGAACGCCATTACACGGACACGCTTCAGCTTCTGGTCGAACATCACGTGTATGAAGCGCACCAGGAACTTGTTGTTATGAAAGGAAATCGGTAATCGGAAAGTTTTACTGATTCATCATTACATCCGAACATAATAATAACGCACACAAACCAAGGCGCGAAAATCCATTTTGAAATGTGGAGGGGGGACACCAGCTAGCGAGTACGCGAAGGGGGGGGGGTCTTGAAATTAGACCCCCTCAGATGCGTTTTCTGCGCAGCAGGGAGGGATTCGGACCCTTGGACCCCCCTCCTGTACACGCCCCTGCACACACACACGCACGACACACACACACACACACACACACACACACACACACACACACACACACACACACACACACAACACACACACCACACATGCATTTGGTTTGTGATAAGATTACGAAAAGGGTGTCCACATGCAGTCATAAAATCAAGAAAACAAAAAGCAGAAAACCAATCATTTTGGTGTTGAAGCTGATCACAAAATAAATTGGTCCGTTATTATGTGGGTCCAGTCATATCATAATATGCGTGTATATATATCATCAATTTGCAATGAAATACATTATTAAAACCGATGCTCAGTTACTCAGTGTCCTCTTTGCGTGAATATAGCTCGTGTTCTCAGCTTAATCCTTGAATCAGTGTCTAATGTGAGTGATATTCTCCTAAACTTTTATAAACATACTTTCTTTGATGATTTCTGCATAAGAATTATTTAATATAAGAAAAAAAACAGTTGTAAAAAAGAAACGGTACTAAATTTTATCAAGACACATTTTTCTTAAGTTGTGATTGATCATTATTATGCTCTGAAATGCACTTGAATGAAATGAAAACTGGCAAAAAAAAAGAAAAAAAAGGGAAAGAAAGGGAAATCGTTGACGCACTATCACACACAATAAAAAGGTTCTCACTTCACAAACTATTCGGGGAGGACCAGACTATGGACATCTCCTGAAATGCCCCTTATTGCCAGAGCCCTGTAGCCCTGGGAGACCTTGAGGCTTTCAACCACCGTGCCAAGTTCCTGTGTGCTGCAGCTGGCTGGCCGAGTGTAGTGTAGTGACCGAGAAGAAGAAAGAAGAAGAAGACTTCACAAACACACACACACACACACACACACACAACACACACACACACACACACCACACACACACACACACACACCACTTACACACTTACACACAAAATCATGGTGATCCAAAATCGTGGGGGGGAGGGGACATTTGATATGATGTCCCCCCTCTGAAAATTTGTGAGGGGGGCATGTCCCCCCTGGATTTGCGCCCCTGACGCAGACACAACCATATATTGACTAGAAAATCGATTGACAAGAAAATCTTTCGTTTTCTTCTCATTTACAATGACCACCACGCAAGCAGAGTGCGTTATTGTGGGCTGCCGAAAGGTAGTGTCAAAAGTATCCAATGTTTACATCAAAATGCGCAATGTTGACGTTGACACTGACGTTGACGTTGTTTACATCAAAATGCGCAATGTTGCGAAATTAAAGTACGCAATGTTGACAATCAAAATGCGCAATGTTGCGAAATTAAAGTACGCAATGTTGACAAAGCCTGCGCAGTGAAAACAAACAGTTGCATCATGAAAGCTTTAACGCGAATCAAAATTTTCGATTTGAAATTTTATTTAAGTTACATGAATATCGCGCGACTGTAATATGAACGTACAAAATACAGGAATGACGTATGATAACAACATTTATTCAGATTTCCTTACTTAGCTTCTATTTGTTTTGCTGGATTAATGGGGACGCAATTTAATGAATTTATCTTAAACTAAGGTATTTATCTGGATGTGAGTTGTGTCTCACTCACATGCGCATAGATTGCAAACAGTGTGGCACACAAACACGAGCGCTGCGCACGCATGCACGGGCGCATACAAATACCCTACACCATACACCATTTTGATTAGCGAAGCATGTACAGGCTGCCTGATATATCGACCAAACGCGGAGAACGTGCTAGATACGTGACCATATATTATATAGCGTGGTGAGTAAATACACC